GTATTCATGAACTAGTTTTCAAGCAAAATCTGGTTGTATGAATTAAAATAAATTATGTTCTTTGCACCTTTTGAAACATAAGATCCTTTTCATTAATATTTCTTACACTTGGCTGCTCTAATACTTTGTCTTGCATTCAGTTTTCAAATTTTTTCAGTTGGCTCCTAAAATCTGTGAAGATGCTAATGTCTGAACCAAGTGATCAGCTTCTGCCCTTCAATAGGTTCAGCTATTATTCACTCTTCATCTCTCTCCATGATATGCCTGTTATCCTCAAACTTATATAATTTTCCCTTAATGGCAGTGAACTTGTTATCATATTCTTGAAGTTTCTATATGATCAAGATCCTGTAGGTCAGCTTCTGGATTCCACAGAGATTGATCATAATATTGAAGTTGACTTGTAAGCATCATTTACTGGCTTCCTTCTGTGATTCTGAATATTCTTCCATGTAGTGTCTAATAAACTTAACTCTTCCAAATTAACTCAACTTTGAACGGCATTATCCTGGACTAACAAGTTGAAATTCCTCCGATAGGAATTGACTGGATTTTAATGATATGAAAATGTTATTTTAATTAGCTGTTGGAAGTTCTCATCAGTATGATGTTCATAATTTGGCTGGCAAATGTGAAGAACTGCACAGCCTTTTGAACTTGTGGAATTTATCAAATGAAAATCTGGAATAAACTAATATTTGTTGAAGTGGACACCTGCTGCATTTAGTGATTTTTTTTTTGGATGTGCAATGCCTGTATAGACCCCAACCCTGAACCTTAGTCGATGAGATTTATGAGGAGCTATTACTTAGGAAAAGTTCTTGGAGAAGTTAACAAGTTTACTGAGCTTCTTGTGCTTAAAAGCATCTACCTGGAATTAACTTTGGAGAAACAACTTGGCAAATCCATTTTTGAGCTTTCTTATAAACTTCTGAGAACATATATGATATTTTTGCGATTGTCATTAGTTATAACTACAGTACAAATTCTTTTCATAATTTGTGTTGACAGAAACATTTTTTCTTTTTTGTTTAAAATTGATGTTTAACAAATACTGATAGAGCCTTTGAGTTTTTCCATGACATTTCCAGGCTACCCTTTTTTTGGCAGGTGGCTGTCTTATATTTTGCACTGTAGCTGCGTTTGGTATCTGTTTTGATTGTAATATTTCTTTTTTTGGCACTTAGGGAAACACAGCAGAGGATCCGAGAGTTGGCTCATTTTGGGGGATTCTTAGATTCTGAATACTTGAAGAGATCCTTAATGAAAGAATTTCAACAAATGGAGTCTTGGTATGCCTTCTCTGTTTTCACTTCTTATATTCTCATGATGTTTGCAATAGAATTAATCAACATACTTAGACTAGAAAAATGGATATACTTCTAGAGGTAATGCCCCAGACAGACTTATCCAACTTTTTCCTGCAAAATTTAGCTTTCTTGTCATATATTTTTTAGTAAAAAGATGACAATATGGAGATGGCTCAAAGTTGACTATATGATATTTAGAAAGTGAGAATGACATAATGATAAACATTCGATGATTATTCACTTAAGCTGTCAACAAATAGTTGGACTCAATTCTTGAAACAGTAATATGATGTATGAGTGCTCAAAGTAAAAGTTAGGTCGTGTCTTCTATTACAGGGACATTATGCATAAGTTGCAGATATGTATGTAGAAATTATGCTTGTGAATAAATTTTGATTTCATTGCGTAAATGAGATATTTTTCCTCAGTTCATTAAACATGGATATCTCCTCACTAGATAACACTGCCTTCCTGATGTCTACTGCAAATATACATATAGGCTCGTTATATGGATGCAAATTGCACCCACTTCCAAGTGTCAAGCTTCTAGAGTGGTAATCCATGACTTTAAGGGAGTCCATGTAACATAGATAAGGTTTTTTATAGTTTATGAGAGTTTGACATTATTGGTTAATGTGCTTTGAAATCGTAGAAAAATATTTCCCATGCCACTTTGCCCTTTCTAGAAATATTGGGATTTTCTGTATACATAAAATAAAATAACCACCAATATCTTCTTTTATCATTGGTTGTAGTCTCTAATTAAAAGATCTAATGTCTCTCGACTGCAGTTTTAAACAGGCTTTGGAGGTGCCCTTTGCTACGATTTCCAAAACGATACTTTGTGCAGATTTGTTGCCCCTTTTTCCTGTTGCATCTTCTTCTAATTTTCCTTTTTCAATGTCTTATTACGAGGTAATGTCACTCTGCATCATGATAAATTTTCAAGTCTTTGAAGATATTGTGATGTTAAATCTGCTTTGTGCTATAACTATTCATAAATTACATGATGAAGTCAATTCTGTTGATTGGTAAATATTTTTGATGTTGGCACTATGTTAAATAGGTGACGTGAAATGCACCTGAAAGTAAGCATGATTTCTTCATAATTGTGAAGGTAGATATTTTTGTAACACTGTAGAGTGAATTGCCCAAATAGTCACTGAACTTTACGTCATGCTTCCAAGAGGTCACTGAAATTTCAAAATCACCTAAATTATCACTGAACTTTGCAAAAGATTTTCACGAGGTCATTGAACTTTAAAAATCACTTCATTCATCACTGAATTTTGTAAAATGTTTCCCAGGGGTCACTAATTCAGTGATCTCCTAGGAAACATTTTGCAAAGTTTAGTAATGAATGAGGTGATTTTTAAAGTTCATTGATCTTGTGAAACTTTTTACAAAATTCAGTGATGATTTTGGTGATTTTTAAAGTTCAGTGACCCCTTGGAAGCATGGCGTAAAATTCCGTGACTATTTGGGCAATTCACTCCTATAAATGAAAGATAAAAACTCTTAAATTAATAGATTTCTTATATTTTTATATTTTCACGTGTCCTAGTTGAGTTAACTAGTATGAATCAGTGCAAACCTTTTTCTAAAAGTTGAAAATATGATTTTTTTTTTTAATTCTATAACCTCCATTTCACATTTTCACATGAGACATGAGGATCCCACGTCTGCAAATCAAAACTAATAAGAACGTAGACAATTATTTTTCCATGTCCAAGAAAAAAAGGCAGGGCATTCAATTTGCGATGGAGAAGGTGTAAAGATCAATTTCCTTTGCAAACGTCTTTTATTTGGCTTCTGGTTTTCGTACTGAATAAATTTGATTAACAGGATAGACTCCTCTAGTTTATAGATAGGCAAAGTATGTGCTAGGCTTCATGAACTTTACAGTGGCTTTTTCATTCCTAGGAGGCTTCACGAACCATTATGAATCATGGAACGGGCCATCAGAGGCTAACTGATTACACATGTTTTAAAGTACCAGATGAAACTTTCTTAAATATTGCAAATTGTGTTGGCATAGCACGGTATTTCGTAGATGATTCTTGCCATTTAGGAAATGGGCATACTTCATTTGAGGCTGTGCTATTACGTCTTCCGGATGGTTATCAATGTGTGGATCTGTCTCTGTATAAAGTAAGTGTCAATTTTCACATTATTTATTCTCCTTTGAACACACAAGTTATTCACTTGTTATGTAACCATCATGTAAAACAGGAAGGACAAATTGTATTCTTATTAAATGAAGTATGTACAAGCAATAAGAGCTCCGAAAATGCTTGTTTGATCATTGTACAAGCAGCTGACCTTCCATTTGTATCTATTTCAAGATCCACTGGTCTGAAATCTTGGAGACTTCATGAACTTCAGGTACATGCTTTACCTTCGTTATGCATAAATAATTTGTATATGCACTGTGGGGGATTCTTGGAAAATGCATATTCCTTTTATGTTTTGATCAATTCAATTTATATTCCTTATCTAAGCTCAAGCAAAAGAATTGAAGGATTTTAGGGTATGTCTAGCAGACTTGTAAGGCATTCATAAACAGGGGTAAATGATTCTTTTTTTCTTACCCCAATTTGAAAAGTTAATATGCAACTTTTGTTCCTTTTAGGATTGTGTTGTGCAATTGCAATTGGAGAATGAAAAGGTCCGACGAATTTCTCACTCTGTGGTAGCTCCATTGGCAGTTAGTGGTGAGTTCTTAATTTAATCACTTTTTCTCTAGTACGATCTCAGGTCTTTTTCTTATGAAAAAATCCCATAGTAGATTTACAGGTTGCTTATTGTGTAAATTGCTAGAGTATTGAGTTCCTGTAATTGGTGAATTATTTCATATTTCATATAACATAGATACCTGTAAATGGAATTTGTTTTCCGGAAAAGTGTGATATGTTAGCATAATTTACTTTTCAGCATCAAGAGGCGTGGCATGCGTTTTTGCTGCAAGAAAACGTGCCTTGGTGTACATATTGGAAGAAGATGAAGATGAAATCTCGGATTCAGAATAATGTATTACATTTCCATTTTTTCAGTGTAATATTTTGTGTTATATATTATGCCCCTAATGGATCAGGTATCGAGCAAAAAAGCTTAGAAATTTTGTATGCAAAGCACTTTTCCTGTTCACATATTGATGAAAATGATGAATAGATCAAAGTATTTAAGCCATAAAGCTGTTTTATATTCTAATATCTTCCATCGACAAATACGTTACTAAGCAACAAGGTAAAACACTGGTAAAATATGGTAGCAGTACAACGTAAACAAAACGGTTATACAAATACAACACTGTGCTTGCATTAAGAAGACAAATGCTTGCCCATTTCCTAACATTCACCTCTGGCCGTTCGGCATTGAGCAACTTCCTCAAGGATGCCATACCCTGTCCTGAGAAAAGTCTGGGCTTGGCGATCTTTAAACTAGAAACAAGTTTGAATCTTGTAGAGTATACTCGCCGATGTCCAATGTTATGTACTCTAGAGGATTCTTTGCAGTCATTGGGCAATATAATACTTATTGGATGCTTAGTAACTTGAGACTATATGGAATCATCCAGACAAATTCTTTTCCAAATTTCAAAACTTTTGAGTAGATACTGATTTAGAACGCGGTGAACATGAAATCATTCTTGAAACACCATAGTATTGCCATAAACAGAGGTCGACGTACCTACAAGTCGTCCAGTTCTACAATCTGTGCTCTTCTCTCAGCAGCTTGCTTTCTGACGAAGATGCCCCATCTTAGAGCTGCTTTAAGTTTGAGCCACCCAACAACAGCCTTACCAGATGAACGTCTACGATCCTCTTGGAAATCGAAGTTCAAAGGCATGTCGGGTGTGAATGTGAAATTATTGTCGTTGATATTAAAGGATGAGGAACCAGCGCCACCCATACTCAATATTCTAAGCATGTGTTGCATGTCTTCATTTTCAAGCATCTCATGACTTCGCATACGGATATCATCCTCAGATATATCCTCGTATCCCTTAAAAGTAAGATTTGGCATACCGACAGAGTGTAAGCTTGGCGTATTCAACTGTGGTGGACAATGGGCGAGTGTATTCTGAGTTCCGGATGGTTGACCTTGTTGAGTTGTGTGGAATAGATGGCTGTGCGGTAGGAAGCTAGTGCCATCTAACTGTATAGCAACATTGAGATCCGTATTCTGCGTTTGCATGTTATATCTACTACCGATATTGTTGTTATGACCTGGTGAAAAATGAACAAATATATCAAAAACGTCTCCAAAACAACTAGAAGACAAATCCAATATCACAATAGATCAAATGCATATTCAGCATTGAATTTATTGTATATGAAGAGATCATTTGTTACCTCCAAGGGTCAATCCTGGGTTCGTATAAGGATGCTCGGCAGGAGCCGAGGAGGGAAGGCTTTGTAGACTGAGCTGACCAAGATGATCAAAAGAGTTCGACTGGTCCTGTAAGATATTCCTGTGATCGTTTTGGGAAACAACTGGATTTTTGTTTTGACCAAAGTCCACAAGAGATTTTCCATCATATTCTGTCACATTTCTCCAATTTTCATATGCCTTCTTCACCAAGGTGTCCACAAAACCCTGCAAATTAAACCAAAATAAGTTGTCTGTCAAACTCTTCTCATTTCACTTGATAGAGCAGGCAATATTCATCTGTGATCACGTTTGCATTCATAGTTAGAAAGAAGCTGCATGGAATGATAGTTTTTAATTATCAACAAGATGAAGACTTTGAACTGAGGCAACTGGCAATTTTTATCTATTCACATACTAACGTAATGCCTGCAAATATTTGTCAAATATGAGATGCAGAGTGAAAAGACAGTTGGATGTGAACCTCTCCCATGCGAAAGGAGCCTAGCAGCCCGATACGCAGAGACCTCTTATTCTGGTCCTTATGCTAACTACAACTAGTTAGGAATTGCAAAAGAAAAGAGACATCTGTCCTTAGGCTAACTACAACTAGTTAGGAATTGCGTAAGAGCAGAGACGTCGCAAGTAACAATAGCGCAAAAGCAGGCGGTGGAGATCCGCAAACAAATGTAATAGGATGCCTGGGGGTTAGGACATAATGTCCAGTCTCTCTTAAGAAACGGGAAAAGAAAAAAAAAGGATGAGGAAAATGAGATAATAAATCTTATTGTGGAGAACTTGGACAAATATGTAGCCACCTATAATATGAAGGTCAAATAATAGAGGAGTTTCCGAGGGCAGACTAGTATATACAAATGCATGATATGTTATTCACTACGTAGTATTTTTGTGAATTACTTAACAATAAAGTCGTGTGTTCATTTAGCATGCAAAACTGGAACAAGGACACTCACTGTGTTTAGCCACTAAGATGGGAAAAGGGGAAAATGGGGACATTGGCAATGGAGAACTTAATATAAAGGAACTTCCACAGTCTTTAGATGGCGAAAGGAACCAGAGATAAATTCATCTATTGGGAAAAGTCACAAATGAGCCAGAATAGTCCACAGTGGAGCTCGAGTATATAAAATTAATTCATTTCTCAGGGGCAAGGATATAGTGTTAATGTCAATCAATAAATTGGAACAACTTCGTAAATATATCTTCGGTCTAGAAATGGAAAATATCCCAAAGTAGAATAAAACAGAATGTTTCTCTAAAATGAAACGTGAATAATAATCGTTTGAGAAGACCGTCAACAGGATCACTAACCTTCTGATTGTCGGGAAGAAAATCAATTGAATGATATTGCCCATCAGCAATCAAACCACTTAATTCATAGATATCGTTAAAGACAACTGCAACATTCTTTGGCTCATCGGGATAGAATACATAGAATTTTCCACTCAGGATACAGGTCTTTGCATGGTCTACAAGAACGTCCCACATCTTATTTGACATTCCACTGCCCAGAATCTGAAACAATTAAAACAGTTAAGAGGAAAATCTGTTCTGAACATATAGAAATAATTTGGAAAAAGTGAACAAAACTTTTGAACCGGACTAAATTAATTATAATTCTTACATTCCGAAGCCTATGTGGATCTCTTGTTACATGTCGCAGAAAATCTTCAACTGTGGATATTCCGGCTTCAAGAAGCCTCTTGTGGAATGATCCATCTTTCCCGATCTTTTCCAGTCTCCAAACTTCATCGCTAAGTACAGGTGGGTAATGTTTCTTGTACACTAAAAAGCCAGAAATTCACAGATTAATAGCCCTAACTGATAGCAAAAGACAAACTACTGATGGAAATGTTTTAGATGAAAATGTACTTACATTCTCCTCTGTGATCCTTAACTATGAAGGCTTCTGTTTTTGCTTCACGGATGTAAAAACCATCACAACTACCTGATGCAACCTTCAGACCAAGTCTAAATCTTCTGCTCCTAATCCAACTAGAGTTGTCAGTAAATGTCAGCTCCCCAAGGGTTCCAACACCTTCCTTCAGTGTCACTTGTAAGTCCCCAGTGAGAAGTGGCCTCTTTCCCTCACGTTCTTTCACAATATGAGACCCAAATTCTTCTGGAGTCCAGCCTTCATCATCCTCGTTGTTAAAATCGCCTTCAAGCACAACAACGTCTAATTTAACTGAGGACTCTGGACCTGATGTCACAACATGGCCTGAGTTTGCATCGACCAAGACAATATGGAGTGCATTACCCTGCTCTCCCTCTATTTTTCCTCCTGTAAATAGAGGAAGTGATAACTTGGACCTAAAGTGCAGCTGTAAATTCCTTCCATCAGGACCTTCAATTCTTTTTGGAGAAACCCTGCATATTTCTCACCGAGTTCAATGGATAGAAGTGAAGGAAGCTTAAATCAAGGAAGCTCTAGTATTCATGCATGCAGAGGCATTTTAAATATCTAGCAGTTATGGTTCAGTGATAACTACAACATGAAGTTGTATTGAAATTTATCAAAACTAGTGTCTGCCAATGAGGCCTACAGCAACTTTAATTAACATTAAAATACTGGATTTATCTTAAGCAACGAGCCAAAGAATATAAGACGATTTGCATCTTGTATTCAACTTAAAGACAATATAATATGCTACTGTGGGGGAAATACAGTGCACAATTCGACATAGACCTGATAACAAACAAAAATGGTAGCACACTGTGAAGGGAAAAAATTAACATATTCGGAAACAAGTCCTCACATACCAGCATCATCAACAAATAGAATATTGCAAGGTGACCCAAAACAAAGCCTTTAAAGTGATAACTGAGAGTATAAAATAAAATCTCGCATAGTGGAAGGAACAAAAGATTGATTATCTATTATTCAATCAGAGATATAATAAGGGAACTGCTAGTAACAAACTCTTTCACGGAAGGTATCTAAGCTGAAAACTGAAGGCATACTTGGAATCTACTGTAGTTCTCATTCGGATACGAGTCAAGTTCAACAAACGTGAAGTATAATATAGATTACAAGTCAAACTTGCAGAAATATTAAAAATATTCCAAAATACTAGTCTAAGCACCACTAACAGCAGTAAAGCAATGCAACTACTAACATTGGTATATAGTGTGGCCAAAGGAGAACATGTTGAACTAAAACTACTTGAAATTTGAACCTTAAGTCAGTAGGTTCACAGAAATTGGTTAAATCATACCTCCCGTTAAGCTTGGCAGGGCCCAATTTCGCCAAAGCACGCTCTACTTCTTCGCTGACCTGGCCAGCGGAAAGTCATTATTAATTGGGATGTTATATGCACAAGAGTATTGCAAGCAACATTCAACAAGTATGGCTCTCATCTGTAAGCATTTAATACTGATGGAAATAAACTCTAAAAATGGAATGTCCTTTGCAATCAACTACTTCAACATAAGGGTATTGCAAAGAGCAGAAAATAGCAAGTTCGTAAACATTAAATCGGTATACTTGCAGGTAATTTTACCCATCTGAAAATAATTTTAAAAGCTAAATGCCAAATAAATATGGTCGCGTTACAGGGATAGCCAGTGTTCTTCACTTGTTTCATGAGATGTGAACACCACAGTCATGAAACATCTACAGTGATTATGAGATAAAGAGATAAGGACATACGTCATAGAAACGACAATCTATACTGAAGCAAATATGAGAACAGTGCTTGTTTTGGACAAGAACGGTTGTGATATAGTGCATAAACTCAGACCAAGTAGATATTCTATCCACATATATAATCGTAAACCATAAGGCACAAGTAGTAACTTCTTTAAGAAGGTATCAACATGAACAAAAAACATATAAAAACTTCAGCTCTCATTTCTGTGGCATGCAACAGAAGTCTCCGACTCACCCTTCTGATCAACTTATTTGAAAGAATACTGGATTTGTGGGATTTCATAATTCAAGGTAATAATTGAAGATAACATGAGTGCTCTGCAACTAATTAACCTATTAGTTTAGGTATTTTCTTCGTTATAATCATATTACAAAAATAAATTCGTCTAAGAGACTAATAAATCTTACAACTCTTCGAAGAATCGGCTCCAATGATGAGCAAAGTTTCTGCAGACTGTCCACCTTTAGAGCTTCAACAATAACACTGCATCAACCATGTACCCATATTAAACAACACTTTATGCAACCTCCATTAACAATAAGCAAGAGAGAGATTAAATGAGTTTCAAAAGGTAAGACGCCTCAACTTCCCAGCATACAAATTCAACAATCACAAATATATTCATCAGGAATTGTTTTAGAATAAATGTATTCATGTAGACACAGATTAGCATAAAAGGCCACATCGGTCAAACTTGCGCCCCCGAATTTACACCAATCTCTTTATTAATAGTATAAGAAGTCTCACACAACCGATTTAAAAATGCATAAAGAAATGAAATCGTCAACAGGATACTAAGAAAAAGCATAATATGGTATGATTAATTAAAATTACTAATTTAAGTAGAAGGTAGAAACTGATGAACACTTGGAAAGTCAACTGCTTAAGCTTTATCACTCCTTTTACGTTACTCAATCCATAATATCCAAGTTCAGTAAGTTGAATCACCTAAAAACACACAGAGTCCTATAAGTTATCCATAATCAGATTTGTGCGCGTAAAATTACCTGGCAAGAGCAGGGCGTTTCCTGTCAGGCTGAGCATCCTGACTACTACTTGGATCCAAACGCCGTTTTTCTCTTGCCGCCATACTGTTCGATCTTTCCATGTACCTTGTCTGCATTTTTTTTTTCTCTAAAACAAAAAAAAATCTTTGTGAAGCTTCGTAAACAGATAAATTAATATATATTTTCTAATTCAGATCAGATCTGATACTGATAACATTTAGTAAGGATTAACTGTTTTCAGTTAAATTTTCGTGAATAAGATTTCTCAAGAGTTAAAAGGAATAAAAAGGCGATAGAATTATGAAAAGCGGGAAAATTGAAAGAGCAGAGAAAGTGGGGAGTAATGCCGAAGAAAGTTCTAAGAAGCATGTTTGAATTTTCGAGGAAGCATCGCTGAAATTTCTTGGTGCTTCCCTTCACCTTTCTCAAATTTTCTATTCTCACGCCACACGTCATAAACGTTACGTTGGCATTTATCCGTCCGCATTTGGATGTGACGTTTTGCTATTGACACTCTACAATTTTTTTATCATTTTTCTCTCTTTTTTATCTATCCCCTTGTTCATTATTTTCAAACTTTTTTTTGGATATTTATTTTCGACCACACATTTATATAATAAAATATTTTACACGTAAATTTATTTATTTTTATTTTTTAACGACACATTATTCTAAAAATCATTATTCAAAACAATATTTTTCCCAATAGTGATTAAATATTGTCGAACCTTAGCTCATATTTGACTATCATTCTTTTAAAACTCGTTTTTTTTTCTCATACTCATTTTCAGCTATACATTTTGTCAATAAAATATGCTTTACATAAATTCAAAATATTTCATACTTTTTAACCACTCATTTTCCAAAAAAATTACTATTCAAAAACTCATTCTTCTCGAAGAAATGCTTGTCGAATAGGCTTGGTTAATATCCTCGTTTACGTCCCAATGAATATAGATTCAAATTTTACTTCAATGAAAAAAAAATATAAATTTAATTTTTACCTATTGTTGATATATATAGAGAAATGATCTAATGAGCACCGNTATATTTTATGTCGAAAAATACAACTTGCATTTCCTTTGCAGTCATTGGAGATGTTTTCGATCATTTTGGAGATATAAATCACAATTTAAATTTATTTTTCCACCAGGATTAGTGATGCTCTTATGAAACAAGTCAGCAACAGTCGAATGTTTATTTATAACAACCGATTTTAAATATTCAATTTCTAAAATATTCACAATAGAGCGATATTATTTATTTTATAATCATCATCAGTCTATGTAATAAGAATAATGATATCGTGATAAGCTTTGACAGCGTTCAATTTAAAAAAAAATACATTTAAATTTCATTGAATAATATAATAATCAACTGTGTCTCGACAGCATATTCCATAAATTTCTGGATGGATAATGTTCGCAGCACTCCTTGGCGTCCGTGAATTGGATATCAATCGTGACCGTTGATCTACGAAAACATCCGATTTGTATAATTTTTTCCCACGTGACATTTGGATTTACAAATGCAGCGTTGTTTATTGTATAAAGTAATTTTAATTGCTACTTTGTCGGCTCAAAACGCGTTATTATCGTTGAATAATCTCCCAATTTGACATTATAATACAGAATTAAATTCGATTGGATAAAATATAGCTTACGGAAATGCGCACCCAGAAAAATTGCATCAAGGCCCCAATATTTTCTTCTTTTTATATTTCTGATTGTAGAAATTCTTGAGAAATTTTCAATCCACCACTGAAGGATATAAACTATAAATAAATTGAAGAATTATTTTTTTTTTTTCTCTCTTCAGCCTACTGGAATTTAGTGGTTATTTGGTAGATATTAAAATCAGATTTTTAGTTAATTTTGATAAAAATTGATGAAATGTGTGGTTGAAAAGCTGTGAATCTCATGAAATGTGTGGCTAAAATTAATTATTGACTTTGACTTGAGATTTTAATTAAATTTTAATTCAAACCAAACATAGGCTTAATATAATTGACAGAAATTTAAGATTTTCGCCTTTTCTTTTTTTATTTTCCACTCCATTAATATTTTTTACACTTTCTCGATTCCTTTTTCTTTTTTTAAAAAAACACAAACTCCGACGTACAGTAAAGCCTCGATAAATTAATACAATTGGAATCATGAAAATTTGTTAATAAATAAAGATATTATTTAATCGATAGATTATTTTATTAATTAATATAAATAATTTATCAAGGCATTCTTTATTTCTTTTCCAAAATATTGAACTTTGTGATTATATGAATATTACCGAATTACAAATTATCATTATTTTATTTATTTGTTTAGCCTAAACAAATTTATAAATATAATTAGTCTTATTAAAATAGAAGTCATAGATCTAGCCATTTCTGTAACAGACTAAAATTACATTTGATGTATACTAATTAATATACTTGGAGTTTCGGCGTATCAGCTTCGGGCGTTTTTTAAGGTATCGATTTTCAACGTTTATGAGCGGACCGATGTTGAGCGATTTTTAGTAACAGTTCCTAAAACTGTCCAACCCACCCATGTTCAGGAGTTTATTATCCATCGGTTCTAAAAATTGAAAAAAAAAAAAAAATTACGGGCGTATTCGGTAGAGATTAAAATCATATTAAAATTGAAAAATTAGCCGTTATTGTTGACTTTTATTAGACGAGTGGGACCCAATAAGAACTATATTTTCAATTTTAATTGGATTTTTAGTTCTACCAAACAAGCTCTACATAGTTGCCCATGTATCTCTATTTTATGTTTGTCAACCATATTGAATTGTAAAATGAATCAGATATCATGCCTTTGTTGTTTGGATGTTTAGAAATTAAATCAAGAATATGTCAACGTGATATCGTATTACTAGCTGATGGAGATTAAGGCAGTCCAAACATGGGATGATGCAAATTACAAACAGAATACGGAGTTAGAATTAACAAAAATAAAAATAAAAAATGACAATCAGAGAAAGAATAGAAACAAAAAAGTGGCGGCACAAAAGAGATAGGAACAAATTAATCGACCAAAAGTTAATTACAGGAACAAATGATGGCTTAAAGGATACGGCACAGAAACTGGAAACTGAAAATATATGAAAAAAAAAAAAAAGAATAAATCCGGAAAAGAAAAAGAAAACCCGGACCGACAAAAATAAGTAGATTTCTACCAAATTCACATTTCATTGAAACTACCTAAATTCAGTCATAGAAAATTGGGGGGAAATACACTGTACTAACAGAATGGATTAATAGCAGAAAAACCCCATAAAAACGTTTATATTTGCGCCATACTTATTGGAAATCGCAGAATACTCCCATATTTGAAACGTTTTGTGCAAAATACACCTACCATTAAGATCCGTCTTTTCCGTTAAAAATGTCAAAAATAAAAAAATAAACTTAGGCTATTGAATCATGAGCCAAATTTCATGAGTCGAATCACATGTGCTAATTCTATGGAATTCATTTCTATCTAGTGCACAATAAAACAAATTCTTGACCGTAGTATTTAATGACAATTCTCTCATATCTTTTTCATCGTATTCCTCTCT